TTATAGGTTATCTTTACGTTTTTAAATACTGATGATTTTACTTAAACGAGAACAGACTAGATGATAAACAATTTGTACTTTTAAATACTGAGAAGGTTACTTAAACGAGAACAGACTAGATAATAATCAATTTGTGCTTTGTACTTGAAACCTAGCTTAGGTATTGAAACTAAATTATAAAAGTTACTGGCCTGGACGGTCTTGTGGTCTTGGTTTGCCGCTCCGCTTCTTCTTTTGGCCGCGTCTTCTCCTTCTTGGCCGCCTCCTGGTCGGGTCGGCTGCTCGGGCCAGCTCCTCCCGGGTCTTGTTCAGGAGTTCCGGCCAGTTTGCGATCAGGTCCAGTCCCGGGTCCAGATCCTCGTTCGGATTTATGTAGTTGTCCATGTCTATTTGTAGGATCTCGGTCCAGTCCGGCTCTATTTTGGTCCAGTCCGCCATGTCTTCTTTTTCATCTTCCGGTTCCGGTTCTGGTTCCGGTTTCGATTTTGTCTCTCTCATCTTACGGTCGTGTGTTAGTGTGATATCCTTAGCACGTCCTCTGATTACTATTACTTTTGAGTGTCCGTCCGTTTTCTTTTGCGCATACATGATGTTGACGCTGTGCGTGTAACTTTCGTACTGTTTTCTGTGTTGCGATTTTTCGTAGGTCTTGTTACATTTTGTATTGCGGGTAGGTCTAAATGAATTAATTTTCTTATTACCCACTTTTGTTGATTGTTTTGATGTCTTAATCGTAGTATGGTTTTAGGTCTTTTATGTGGCTTGTAATTTTTTTCTTCGGGTTTTCTGGACATTTTAGTTCAAATATTACTGGTGATTTTTTGTATGTTATTGTATAAGGTCCAATGTATTTTGGAGCTAGTTTTGAGCAAAAATGTTTATTTGCGTCTGATAAAGTGAAGTTTCTTTTCATGACTCTTTCGCCCACTTGTGGTTCCCAGTTTCTTTTGTTTGTATCGTAGTATTTTTTTTGTTGTACGGAGGCTATGTGCTGGTTTTTTCTGGCTGTGTTGTGTATTTCTTCGAGTTGTTTTTTATTTATTACTTGTGGTATCGGGAGTTTGTTCCTGTCTCCTGGGTTTCTTAGTTCCTTTCCAAATAGCAGGAATGCTGGCGTGAATTTTGTGGTTTCATGTTTTGAGGTGTTCAGCGCGAAGTTTAGTTCTGACAGGTGTTCATCCCACTTTTTATGGTTTTCGTTAACGTATGTTGAGATCATGGTTTCCAGTGTCTTGTTTACTCGTTCCGTTGGATTTGCTTGTGGGGAGTATGGTGCGGTTAGTCGGTGATGGATTCCGTATTTCTCTAGTGTTTCTTCGAATTGTTTGCTGGTGAACTGACAATTGCAAATCTACTATGACAAGAGGGATAGCGACGCGCCCGGTTCGCGTCCCGAGACTAGTTTACGTATCCGCGAGAGGGGCGGCGCCCTGTGCGAGGTTTAGCAAGTAGTGTTAGTTTGGATACTTATAAACTAGGGGGGTAGGACGGTCCGCTCGCCAAATCGGTAACCGAGGTTAACGAAGTGCGGATTCGAATACCAAAGGTAAAAAGGCTTAGGACCTACGTGGCGAGTGGGGAGGAATAAAGGAAGGGTGGCAGCGGGATTGCTACCGCAGGTCGGGATTGAGTAAAGCATGCACTCGGTAAGGATTGGGATGTGTATACAGGCAACGATGGTTCGCTCGTGTCACGGAAACCGCGCGAGCCGAAAGTCCTATCGAGCCAGGTTAGTGGGAACAGTGAGGGTAGCTATTCGCTAGGGACTCTTGCGTAATTAGCCGTAGACGCGCGCGCGATCGTCTGGCTGTTACGATGGCTCCCGAGCGAATGCTAGGCGCCCGCGGTCGCCGCCGTCTCTTATATTAACTCGGTCCGTGCGGCGTGCGGCCGCGCAGCCGTAGGGTTGTCAAAATCTCCGCGCTCGGTGTTAGGGCTGTCGATGCGTCGCAGGGCGCGTCACAACTTCTTAACGGTTGTCTTGTATTTTGTAACCGAAAATTCATGTACCCTGCTATCTCTAAACCCTTTTTAGCGTAAGATGTTTGTTTTATATCTATTCCCACCCTTCCCTTCACCATGTCTTGAACACAAAAGTTTAAACTCTGTAAACAAACCATTAAATCTGTGATAACAAAAGTCCTAACAAAACAATAACTGCATTTACTCGTAGTCATTTAAGATTGCTTGTGTTTTGACCTTTCCACGAAGTTGTTACTTGATTAAATATTGTGTATAACTTAGATTTTATTCAACTAAGTCTTTTACCAATTAATAGTTTAAGTTCAATTTGTACATATTTTTAGCTTTAGCTCTTAACGCGGCTCCGCACGCGTAGATTTAGCTTTGACCGTCCGTTACCTTAAAAGCTTCTGCGCAAGCTCTATGACGCTCGGCAGCTGAGCTTACGTTCAAATTAGTATTCTAATTATGTTACAAACGCACAAGCATATTAACTACCTCTTATATTATTTTGGAATAGATATTATTTTAGATTCATTTAGCACTTCGACTTATTTTTGTAAAATATTTTTTAGCTATAGGTTCATTAACTTTGGCACTAAAATATTGTCAAGCTTGCGGCAGTGATTCATTTTGCGCTGCTTATAGATTTTTTGGAATTATTAAAATTATATCCATTCATCGTAATAAACATAGTCAATTAGGTTAAAGGTATAGACTTGCAGTGATGTACCCCGTACTTTGTTAGGTTGACCATAGCTTCTACAAAAGCGCTTTGGTGTACAACAAGACCTACTTCAACGAGCACTGGACGAATGTCACCAACGGCACTAACCGGGTCATCGTACGCCCATCCCTGAAAAATATGGCCACCCCTCACGCATATGTAAGTATAAAATAATGTTTCATTACGTTTTTCTTTGCCTTCGCTTAAATTTCCAAAATTATTGTAGAGTTAAACCTTCGTTAGGTCATTCGAGTATAAAGTAGTTTTGGGGAAGACTTTGAAATACAAATCGCATTAGCAGAGCTGAATTTTACTTTTAACAGTATTTTATCAATCAAACATATTTTATACGAGTACCTAAATCTCTTCGATGAGAAAAATCTTATGCATGCACCGAGTGCATTTAAAATTAGCTCGCACTCGTAACTTACTTCTAATCACCACAGGCTCAACTTGCATCGTAAGCATCATAATTGACAGTATTCTTAGAACATCATATTATGTAGTTATGTACTATGTATAAGTCTACATTTAGTTTATAGCACATTGGTAAGTATACTGTAGTCTGAATGATCGAGATATTCTAAATATATACCTAAATATGTCTGAAATAAATATTTTCATTTGATTTGCTAGACTTTCGCTCACAGCAGTCTCGAAGGTGGAATTTCCAAATCAGAGTTGCATTTTAACTAAGTATTCTATTACAGTTCATACTTCCAAAAACAATCGGATCAACTACTTTTCATCATTAATTCACAAACATTTCAGGTCCATCTTATTAAAGACTGAGTCGCAAGAAAAAAAGCTTAGGCTGGGTTGCACCATCGTATTTTAACTTGGACAAATGTCAAAAATCTGTCAAACTCCATATAAAAATCACCGGTTATCGTTAAAGTTACGGTCAAAGTAAGGTGGTACAACTCAGCCTTAGTATTTAAGAATACCTAATTACCTATATTACCTATATTTGATTTGATTTGATTTGATGTTATATTGTAGAGCAGAGTCAGCCAGTAGGCTCTTTTAAACAACTTATTAGGCACTACAGTTGATAACACTAATGTGGGGTTATAACTCTCACAAAAGTAAGAAAAAGACTGAAAGATGAACAACAACAAAAATTTAACTCCTGAGTGTGAGTGGGTCAAAACTCCAAGTTTAGCCCTAGGTTTGTTACTAGGTTTTTCAGCTCTCAACATGGTATCACGCGTATCAGTCAATAGTACCTGCTCCGTTACATATAAGTTCGATTATGTACCTACTTTCGCTTCTCTGCTTAAGAATTTACTTCAGCCCGGTCTTCAGTGACCAAAACTGTAGGTCAATCAAAATAGGTACACAATAATAAAAATGAAGACTGATTGGTTTGTTATAACAAATCATTATTTAATAATTAATATATTAAGTGTAAAATTATAAGGGCAAGTATCTTGGCTGCATTTAATATTTTTGCTGAATAGCTTTTCCCACCTTTATTTCAATTACACTAATACCTAACATCATAATTCTTCGCAGCGCGACTTTTCATTTGAGATGAGGATGCCGTTCGATTTTCCGTTCTATGGGCATTACCTCAAGAACATCACCATCTGCACCGGAGGATACGTGTTCACTGGACCCAGCAACCACCGTTGGTATGCTCAGCAGCAGAACATCTCGCCGCTGATGGCCAACTTCGACCTGACCCTCGACGAGACCAGCGGCATCGTACTGTTTGAAGAAGGTAGGGTTCTGTACATAATTTACATACATTTTAAATATTTGTAACTTTGTCCGTTCCCACTTTGAATTTTTTAAAAAACGTGAAGAATCATGTCCACAATACCATTTAAGAAATAAAAATAAGTTAATGTTACCAACCATCCGCCTAAAATCCTCTTCGAGTACTTATAATATGGCCATAAAGATTTATAATAAATTGCCCGATTATCTACTGAAAGAAAATAATGATAATAAATTCTCAAAAGGACTAAAAGAGCTTTTAAGTAAAAAATGTTACTACACTATAAAATAATATTTAGATGATAAAATAAGATAAGTCATTAATCTAATAATTAAAAAAGACTCCTCTCTTATATTTCATAAAATTTTAAATTGCAGCGCCCGACAGGGTCCATAATTAACTGTACCTATTATCACATTGTAACATCTACACTACATATATTACTATTATGGAAGAAATAAACATATTGAGTAGTATACGGGACTATTCCCACCTCTCGTTCCCACCGCTGCAACTCCTGTGTAGCCAGGATCAGCTTGACCGCCAATAAAAACTCAACCAGTAAAGATCAAGTTTATCCCGGGGATTACCCGCAGTTTAGTCCGCGTGAAATTCAGTTTGTCTGTACGACTATAATGTCGTGTAATATAGTCAATCGACAAAGAACACGGCAGTGTGGTTCTAGTGGGAACCCGATTTAACACAGTCTGGCGAAAACGTCCTGTCATTGGCCTACGCACGCGCAGTGAAAAAAAAAAAACAAATGTCGCAGACTTTTTAGATACTTATAAAGTACCTACTAGTGGCCGCCCGCGACTTTGTACGCGTGGATCCCGTTTTATCCCCTTAGGGGTGGAGTTTCGTAAAATCCTTTATTAGCGGATGCCTATGTCATAACATCTACTTGCATGCCAAATTTCAGAGCGATCCGTCTAGTGGTTTGGGCTGTGCGTTGATAAATCACTATGTCAGTCAGTCAGTCAGTCAGTCAGTCAGCCAGTCAGCCAGTCAGTCAGTCACCTTTGAGTTATATATATTTAGATAGATTCAGGAAATAAATAAACGCATAAACTTTCAGCCGACAAAGTGACCATCGTCTGGGAGAACATGAAGCTGCGCGAGCGCCGCAACCTGAAGTTCACCTTCGCCGTGACCATCTACAAGAACGGCGACATCTACTTCGCCTACAAGGAGGTCCCGATGAAGATCCAGTCCATTGGCGACCGCGCTTCCGTGTTCATTGGCTTGGCCGATTCATACTTCATGAATAAGGTCGCTTTCTGTGAGTATAATACGAAAGTAGCTGTGAATCAGTCAAAAATCATTAATTTAGCCTAAAGGTTCGGCCAAACCAACGCGATCACACGCGATCAGCTGGCGTGCAGCGATGGCGACCAGACTTAAATGCATTGATCGCCATCACTGCATGCCGGCTGATCGCGTGTGATCGCGTTGGTTTGGCCGAACCTTTAGACTAGTCATGCATAGCAGCCTGTATCATCAGTATCTTACCGTTTACTTGACTAAAATATTAGTTAAGTATTCTAAAAGTTAATGTTAAGGCATGCGGTTCCAGTTGACTTTAATAAGACCACCTCCACTCTTCCCGTCTACCGCGTCGATAAAGGGGACTAAGAGTCAAATATGCGAACTTCAGGTCTTCCCAATCCGTCTAGCCGGGGTGGAAGGTGCAGGCCAAATCCTTCATTTTCTTCTACCTCTATGCGCGAACGTCAGAAGATTCTAAACCTGTCTTGGCAGTATGGAGAGGGAGTCTAGGTGAAATAGAGGATTATTTCGTTGGTTTCAAAGACGTCCACTGCTGGGCAAAGGACTCCCCCAAGGTTTTCCACAAAGACCGGTCCTGTGCCGCCCGCATCCAGGCACCTCCCGCGACCTTCATCAGCTCGTCGATCCACCTAGTGGGAGGTATGCCCACACTACGTCTTCCAGCTCGTGGTCGCCACTCGAGAACTTTTCTGCCCCAGCGGCCATCAGCTCTACGAGCTATGTGTCCCATCCTGTATTTACCTTTAGTAAATTAGTGTTTCTGCGAAGATCAAAAGACCTGATGATGACAATGATGATGATAACGATTTTGACTTTTTGATGATGATGATGATTGTTTGCAGACGTCAACCGCCGCACGCTTCACAACTACAGCCGCATCCCGTTCTACGGCTACAACATCACCAGCGGCTCCGTGCTCCAGCTGATTGCCCAACCTTCGTGCCCCATGTACAACACCTGCGAGGCTTGCGTGGCCCACGAGGAAAAATACGACTCCTTCAAGGTCAGTCATTCATTCATTCGTTCGTTTCAGACAAATGACGTCCACTGCTGGACAAAGGCCTTCCCCAAGGCTTTCCATGAGGAACGGCCCTGCGCTGCCCGCATCAAGGTTATTCCCGCTACCTTTACCAGATCGTCGGTCCACCTAGTAGCAGGCCTGCCCACGCTACGTCTTCCAGCCCGTGGTCGCTACTCGAGAACTTTTCTGTCCCAAAAGCCATCGTCTCTACGAGCTATGTGCTCCGCCCACTGCCACTTGATTTTAGCAATTCTGCGAGCTCCATTTCACTTTGGTTTTCTTGCGGATCTCATTTTTATTAATAAAATTATTCTCTCATATTAAGCAGTGATCTGAACACTCTCCTAAACGCCCATGAAGATCAAGTACGTCTATTCCTAATAAAGGCTAATAATACTACTAATATCAAAACTAACATTCCTTCTATTGACATTTTCAGTGCATCTGGTGCGAGTCTCTGCATAAGTGCACCAGCGGCGCTGACTTCTTCCGACCCTATGTTGCCGGTGAGTTAATAATAATATCTTAAATTGCACGCCCCGTATTCACAAACATTACTATGAGATCTCAAAGTGCGCGTGGACGCACAGGGTGACACACGAACAAATCACAGAGCTCTATTCAACGCTCTGCGCCCGATTTCTGCTTCACTTAAGCAACCACTCCCAGAATGAGCATCGTTTGTGAATACGGGCGTTAATAACCAAATTAATAAACAAAAAAACCAACTGCGTAAAATGAACTAAAAAGATAAAAACAAGACAACTTAGTGTTCACAAATGCAGTCGGAGGCATCAATGAATATTTCACACCACTCACGCTAAAATCGGTCAAGCCGTTTAGGCTGTAGGCCGTGCCAAAGAAATATACATACATACCCACATACATACAAACACTCGAAAAACATAACCCTCCTTCTGGCGCAGTCGGGTAAAAATACACGTACATCAATCAACGGAATCAATGATAGAAGAACGGTTCAACTTTGTACTTTACAATGGCTACTATTGCTATTGTCATACACACACATCATTCAAGGACATTTAATACAAGATGTTGCAAGTTATAGAAATGATATTAGAATTGAATTTACACAGATACAGTCAGAATGACCCCATTGAGCTAACTGCGCACCTTGCTGGAATGCTCTCTCTGCGGCTGCCGTGTGCGCAGTTTAACTTGACCGGGTTGTATAAAAAGTTTTTGTCATAGCCGATTTCATCGAATAAAGATCTTGTGAAGCTAACAGACGTTTAAAAGTAGCATTTATCAGAAATAAAAAAAAATCACATAAGATGACAACCACTTCCCATTGTAATGGCTATTAATAAGGTCGTTATACAGCAGACTGGTGGCCAACACAAAGGTTTACTTTAAAAACTCGCAACTTTTTGACTGACCCCTTTGAGGGTCAGAAGACCTTGAAATGAAGACATAGTGACCTTGGCTCAGGAAAAGAGGGTTCCACAAAAAGATCACACGCCAAATACGAGTATTACTGGATAATAACTGATCTTTAAGCTTTACAAAAGCAAGCGGCTTGATCTGATCTGACCTGACAACACATCCTGTTCTGGTTAATTTAACGACTTTTTGATTGCCAGCAAAAAACTGTCATCGTACCTTTACCATATTTTGCAACCTTGTAGACCATGACTATAATATCATCATTTTGCCAGTGGCAGAGCGTGCCGTAGACGGTCCCTGAATCATTTGTTGGAGGCCTCAAATTACTTTTAATTGTGTGGCCTGGGGGCCCCGTATTATTGATACGGTTGATACGCCGTAGCTATGTCCTTGCAATGTGCATTTTGTAAACCTTGCGCTCTTTATTTCCAGATTGCGACTTCGACAACAAGTGCTCCAACAACACCGAGGATAACGATACCCTGCCGCGTCTCAGCTTTTTCCACCGTATCTTCAACTACGCCATGTAAACGCCACGTTGAGGACCTCCCATTGGCAGCAATAGAGGCAGCTATATTATGCACTCGACTTGCACCGGTAGCGTCGCTAATGGGACACATACATATCTATTTTATTCTCTATTCGTCCGTCGGCTATAGACCAAATGACGCCGATGGCTTTGTGTCTCCCTCACTAATATTAAGATCCTCCTACTAACCACGCTTAGTACATTTTAAAATCACATACTATGCATTTAACACCCTGACAAGCGTGGTTAGCCAAAACCGACCAACTAGTCGTTCTCCTTTAGATATAAGCTGTTCTTACATAGTGTAGTCTCAATGTACTGAATAGCAGTGCTCCACGCACGAAAGCGAGTTTGAAAATGAACCTGGACTTTTGAAATTTCAGCAGACCTTGAAATGACTCTAGCTACTCCGTACAGTGAGATCTCGTTGTGTTTGCATTAATCATTAATGGGCATTCCAGTGTATTGGAGCTTATTTATAAGTACGAGTTAAGGTTTGAAAGTCTCTTTCGATGTATTTAACAGTCATGGGCGGACAGCAAATTGAAATTGCAAAGATTAGGCAATGGTTTGATGGGAAGTTTGAGTCTAGCCATGTCTAGCACAGTTTGGGGCATGTTTCAACATCTGCTTGTACTTGGTCTGATGTTCGCTCACGACATTCATATCTTCTAGTGTGTACGTTTTAATCCCACTTGGGTCTTTTGATGTTTCAATTAAATGTTAGTAGCAAAATCGCGTTTCATTTAACACCTCGTACCAATCAGAACACTATCTTATTCATGACCTAGTGACTCTAGTTCTTTATTTCTAAGTTAAGGGTTCGATTCCCAAACCATTTAAAGTTACTCTATATTGTTTACAGTTTCATTCTGGTCGCGTGGTTTCTCTGAAACCTATATCAGGCACCAGTCTCTCACACACAAGATGCCTCAAGTATGTAATACTCATTGTAAGAATGTAATTTTTTGTATGTGAGAGAAATTTAAAATATGATTTTATTATTATTATTTATTCTTAAAATAACTTGAAAAAATCTAATTGCTTACGGTAGGAGATGCGAATCTTAACGCTAGAAAATTTTCATATCTACAGTTTGATTGAACTAAATGAACAAATGAAAATTAATAGAGACTAACAAATACTCAGCTGAAACACTTTAGCTATATCTTTCGTACCTACGATAGAAAAAGAAGGCATTTGTTTGTACGGGTAATACGGCAACCACCTGACTGTGGCGTGGAGCATATAGATGACCCACGCTGAGCTGTACCACCAAACTCAATGACAGGGGGGCGGTGGCCCAGAAGAAAATTCACTTTTGAAAATTCAAGGAAACGAAAACTGTACATTTTTATAGAACTTTAACTATTGCAATTTAAAAGAAATTTAATGCAATTTTTTTTTAAATTTACCTTTATTAAAATACATCGCCCAGGAAATTTTCTTGACGCTTACAACATTCGATCAACATACATCAAAATCTTAAAATGCATTCGTTAGAATTACCTCGAAACCTATTTTCATTTTTTTGCCGAATGCTCGGCTTCAGTTGCTGCATGGTTGTTGGATTATAAAAGTATACTCTATTCTTAATGTAAAATAATTTTCTGGACTGATATCAGGGCTTCCTGGCGGCCAGGAGATGTCACCCCTGCCTGAAATTATTTTTTTGTGGGAACATGTCTCTTACCATCTAAATGCTCTCATTTGAAGTGTGACACGTAGCCCCATCTTGATGAAACCAAGTGCTCCAGTCATAGCCTTGCGAATCTTGCAGCTTTGAAAACAAATATTTTTCAGCCTACCAGTATAGCGCTCTCAAAAATTAATCAATTAATCATCCTTTCAATGCAACAAACCAATTAAGCAGGGGTGAAATCTGACTGCCTCTAAGAAGCGCTAATCTCATTCCAGCAGACTTCTTTTTGTGGGGTTACCTTATGAGCAGAGTACAGTACACTCTAATAATCCAAAAACTCTGCAGCATTCATCCATCCTAAATCCATTATATTTCCTTTAAATTGCAATAGTTAAAGTTCTACAAAAATGTACAGTTTTCGTTTCTTTGAATTTTCAAAAGTGATTTTTTTTCTGGGCCACCCTGTATATCGGAATAATAAAATAAGAACCGACAAGTAACAGATTCGCACTCGTGAATTGCAACAACTATGTATACTAAAATGTATGTCCGAATGTTGACGAACCTGTCTGACTTTGACATATTATTATTTTGGCGGGAGAACGAGACATTACGAGAAATACACATGATGGGAAGAGACAGAATACATTGGTAACTCGACAGTCGTATCGACCTTTAGTATCGCTGCTAGTTGGCAGTACTTTACAGTACGTTCCTGACGAACCAGGCTGTATAATAACATACGCTTTGGTCACGGCCTCGAAGGAAAATAAAAAGGTATCTGTCATCAAAGTTACTCTATTTTCATTCCGCCCATTTGCCTACTTGCCGCCTTGAATAGACTACGTTGAGACTTTTTGGCGGGAAGTTGAAAAGGGCGGTCTATTTGTTTTTATTTAATTCGTATTTTATTGTTAGTTTGTGTATATTTTGTAAAAAATTGTTGTAAATATAGTAATTTAGTGTGTTTAGTGTATATATTATATAGGGGTAAGTCCATTTGCCTATTTATAAAGTATGGAGACGGAACCAGCTCCTGACCCTGATCCTCCCCCAGCCACTCCACAAAATCCTTTATTGACCTTAATAAAGGCTGACAATTTCATATCTAACTAACAAGTAAAGGAATTTGAGTCATTTAAATTAGTCACAAACAGATAGACTCAAAAAAAAATTAACAAACATTTATTGAAGACAAAATCCTCTCCTAAAATGCATGTTACCACTGCTTTTCAAGAGATTTTCACGAAAGCTCCTCCAGCTCCGGTGATCCAACATTATCAACAGAATAACCATAAAATAGGCAGAAACAATTACCAGGATCAGGATGCAGGTCCTTTTCTGGTACATGTCCAACAAAAAGAAACTCCCAAATCTGGCTCCACTCTTCACCCCATCAAATTTGGGAATTTTCTGTTCAGAAATAATTTAAAAAATATTTTGGATGATGGCATTAAACGAATAGGGCAAAATCGATTGCCAGTGACATTCAAAACACCTGGTGCGGCAAACTCATTTTTGTGTAATCCAATTATATTACATGATTATGTTTTATCTATCCCAACATACAATATCACCAAGATGGATTGTAGGAAATTTGATAGTTCCTGAAGGCTTTGGCCCAATCATTCGGTCTCGCCGGCTTAGCCTCAAAGTTACATCACTTGCAAGGCCCTAAATGGTTGCCCACTCAGACGGTAGTCCTTACATTCGATGGTCAAGCTCTTCCTCCCCGAATTTATTCCTTTTTTTCCTCACTGCCTGTTGACCAGTACATATTCCCAACAATTCATTTGAACTCATTACATTAATTAACCAACACCAGCCATTTGCCATAGCTATATCCGAAACCTGGCTGAAGCCAGGCTATAACTTTAGAGTTCGTGGCTATTCAGTCTTGAGAGGACAGAGATGATGGGTGGGGTGGTGCCGCTCTACTGATTAAAAAACATTACTTGTTTACATCACTAGCACTTCCTTCCTACAATAATAATCACTTGAATGCAGTAGCTGCAAAAATTGGTGATATTTCAGTACTGTCTGTATACATTTCTTGCAAAGATTCATCTGTTATTCCGATTTTAAGTAATCTTATCTCTTCCTGCGCCTGTGTTAATTTTAGGTGATTTTAATGCACACCATTCTCTTTGTGGTGCACCAGTCAATGATTCATTTGGTAGTGATCTTGTGGAGCTTATAGACGAGTTAAATCTGTGCGTTTTAAACGATGGTTCAGCAACAAGGAGACCGTGCCCCGGCCAATCTTTAAGTTTTGTCGATATCTCTGAGTCTGAGTTGGAGATGTTTATCTTCCACTTATGGTATTGACCATGTTCTGATTGTCATTACGTTACCGAAAACAACCGTTCTGTAGATCCACTTCCTCTCTTGCGTAAATATATTCTAAACATTTAGCATTTGTTGAGCAGAAAGTCAAGTTATTGCCGAAAGTTTGTAAAGTTATGTTTTTCGAGTGTAATGTATACATATACAGTGTGTCCGGGCATGTAGTGATCAAACTTTAAGGGCGTAATCTATGGACAATTTTATCGATGAAAATACTTCAAATTTGGGGCTTGACCCATTTCTCGAAAAATTACATCGATTTAAGTTTTTAATTTTTAGTTTACACCTCTTCTTTAAAAAACAAGTGAAAGTGTGGGTAGCTTAACATTAATAGGCAAATATTTTATATCATGCGATAGCCAATAAAATTATCTATTAGTAGAAGAAGAAACCAGACACAAGTTTCATACATTTTATGGGAGTAAGAATGGATTTAATTAGAAAAATACATTACTTTTTTCACTTCTTTTTCAGTTATTTTCCAACACAAGAAAAACCAGGTCGTTAAGGTATGTTTTATTTGCATTGTATTTTTAGTATTTGAGCTATTCTACAAAACGAATGTAAATTTATTAGTCTACGTCTATTAGTTTCGACGTAATTGTTGAACAAAGATACCCCTTCCCAGCGGTTTCCATAGTAATCGGAATAGGTTGTGTGATTCTTTCAGGCAGTGCATTTTCGCATGTCGCGTGCGCTATGGAAACCGCTGGGAAGGGGTATCTTTGTTCAACAATTACGTCGAAACTAATAGACGTAGACTAATAAATTTACATTCGTTTTGTAGAATAGCTCAAACACTAACCTCCTTACTAATAAAACTTACACGCTCGTTGATCAGTGTTTTAAAGTGACGTTTAGTATGGAAATGTCATTTTAAAACAATGATCAACAACTGTGTAACTTTTTATTAGTAAGGGGGTTAGAATACAATGCAAATAAAACATACTTTAACGACCTGGTTTTTCTTGCGTTGGAAAATATAATTAAATCCATTCTTACTCCCATAAAATGTATGGAACTTGTGTCTGGTTTCTTCTTCTACTAATAGATAATTTTATTGGCTATCGCATGATATAAAATATTTGCCTATTAATGTTAAGCTACCCACGCTTTCACTTGTTTTTTAAAGAAGAGGTGCAAACGAAAAATTAAAAACTTAAATCGATGTAATTTTTCGAGAAATGGGTCAGGCCCCAAATTTGAAGTATTTCCATCGATAAAATTGTCCATAGATTACGTCCTTAAAGTTTGATCACTACATGCCCGGACACACTGTATGTATGTATATTTCTTTGGCACGGCCTACAGCCTAAACGGCTTGACCGTTTTTAGCGTAAGAGGTGTCGTTAGATTTGTCTTAATCGTGAGAGTAACACTATTTTAAAATTGAAAAAAAAAATCCAAAATGCGGATTTTAGGGGCCATAATGCCTACAAAAAAAATCTCAAATCCTATCGAGTGGGGTATCAAAATAAAGGGCTTTTTAAGTAGCTTACAAAAATGTATGTTATTGAACTAAAAATATTAAAATAAAATGATTATTGAATAAAAAAAAACCCAACTGCGTTTAAAATGAACTAAAAAGATAAAAACAATATTTGATGCGTCCGACTGCATTTCTGAACACTAAGGCTGAGTTGTCTTGTTTTTATCTTTTTAGTTGATTTTTACGCAGTTGGGTTTTTTGTTTATTCAATAATAATTGATTTAAATGTACTAGAACTTTCATGAAG